ACCCATCTCTCCCCTGGAGGTCTGGCCTGTCTCTGCCACTCATTGGCTGTGTGCCCTTCGAATAGCTCCTTCCCCTCTCTGGGCCGGTTTCCCTGTTGGTTCTAACAGGATCTCTCAGTAGACTTGCTAGTTTCCCATACCAGCCAAAGCAACGAGGCCTCACCCTTTGAGCTTCTAAGGGGAGAAATTGAGCCATTTTCTATTTCTTCCCTGCCGCGACTGTCCCCCGGCTCTGGGGAGCAGGTTGGGTCAGATTGGAAAGTCCTAGACAACTCTTTAGATGAAACAGAGAAATGTTTAAGGGATTTGCGCGCTCAAGCTGCGGGGTAAATGGCCCGCGGGCTGATTTATGGCGCGTTACTGCGCGACGCGATTCCCCAAGACAGCGAGAATATTTTACACCGCGCTAATATAAACAGGCGGCCGGCCGGGTCCTTTTTATGGAGTTCCTGTAATTACCCGCGCCCTGACAGGTCCTTGATTTACGGCCCTATTTAGATAAGGGGTCCGGTGCGGGGATTGCCGGTGGCGTCAAGGTCACGGGACTCGGCGGGAGAAGGTTTGCGGTAGGCGCCGTGGATTGGGCTCTCCGAGGCCTGCCAGTCAGGGGGTGGGAGTGAGGGGAGAGGGACCCCGAAGCCGAGGCTGCTGTCACTCCGGAGGTCCGAGGCTCAAGTAAAGCCGGTCCACTCTACAGATGCGGGAACCGAGTCCTGGAGGAGGCAGGAACTCCCTCACCAAAAACCAAAACCAAAACCAAACCAAAACGAACAAACAAACAAACAAAACAGCGAATGAAATGGGGGTGGGTGTGATCTAGAACTGGAATTCAGGTCTCTGGCAAAGTCATCCCCACGCTTGGCGATGCTTGGTCTCCCCAACATCCAGCCTTATGACGGTGGGGTTCTGTAGGGTCAGCGGGGAAAGAGGACTCAACACCGTCAAAAAAAAAAAAAAAATGCGCGTTCAGATCCGAACAGAGCACTGAGCGGGGAGACCTGGCCTGGACTACCATCCCTATCCAGGGGGATGTAGCCCTGGGGATGGGTAACTCCATTTCTTCCCCCTGTGAAATTAACATTTCCAAAAACAGACACACCGTTTGTCCAGATTTACTGATACTGCGCTAAGAGCTATATCATTTCCTTTCATTTTAAACCAACCCTCTGGGTAGGTATTATTCCCACCCCCACCAGTTTACAGAGGAGGAAACTGAGGATGGGAAGGTTCACACCCGGAGGAATGCCAGTTCAAACCAGGTGGGCCCGATTCCACCGAGAGGCTCTCTTCAGCGCTCCTGTAGTACAACTTCCAACCTCTATGTGTTTGTGCTGGCAAATGGGGTGAGAGTTCTTGCCGGACCTCACTAGCACAACTGGAGGAGGAAACGGGCATTTGAACATGCTCTGAGTACCCGACCTTCTGAAGGCGATATCTAGGTGAGCACTGTGGGGTTTCCCAGGGGAGGCCCCCAGGAAGGGGACGTATGGACTAGTGGGTAGGACACCGGCACCCCTGGCTCCTGGTCCTGGGTTCGTAGATGTGGGCCCAAGTAGAATGGAGTCCTTCCCTGAACGGAGCATTAAATCTGCGTGAGATGAGAGGGGAACCAGGGTGAGGAATTACAGAACTCCAGACTATCAATCCTATCTCCTTCTGAAAATGGAGAAACTGAGACTCTGAGAGGGAAAGAAACACAGTGAGGTGCTAGGCAGAGCTAGAACTCTTTTGCCTCCCAGCGTAAAGCAATTTCTGCCAAACTCCTGGGTCCCAGCACCCCTCACCCCCCACACACACCCTGTAGCCTGGGGCAAAGAGAACATCCTCACTAGGTACCCATTGTCCCGTGCCGCTGCACTCCAAAAGCACCTGAGCCAGACTGGAATTAAAAGCGCCTTGGGGGGCTCCCAGAAGGCCAGGTCTGGAGCCTAGGCGCCTTGTGGTCTACGCAGGCATGTCCCTGGCCTCCACCCTGCTGGACATCACACAGCCTGGAGTCCCGAGGGCCGCACTCTCAGAGCCGACGCGGCTCGTCCGAAGACTTCGAATCCTTCCCAGTCTTTGCCGGCAGGAGAAGGGGAAGCATCGCTTTCTGCCGCCCAGGTGGCCGGGAGCACCCCGCTCACAGGGGTGGGCAGCTGGGCAATTTCACGGGCCCTCAAGGGGTCTGATGGGACTGGAACTCATCACCCAGTAATGATAATGTATTCTCCACCGCACTAAGCAGGCTGGGTATTTGGCGGGTATATGCCGCCCTGAGTGATGTCTAACCACAGGAAAATTGTTGGGACACATGGGTGGGGGCTGAAGCATGAATTTGTAAGTATGTGGGTAATTGTGTGTACCTGTGTGAGTGCTCCTCATTCATGTGGGTGCTGGGAAAATGGGCATACTACTTACCGTTCAACTTCATCAGCACACAAATGTGACTATATAGGTACGACAGAAGATATGTCAAACTGAGTGTGTGCCGGTGTGTAATGTGCGACCATGTGAAAACATCTATTTCTGAGCATCTGTGCATGTACAGTAGTAATCAGGGCTATGTACTTGTGTGTGTTTGGCTTAGCTGTGACACTGACAATACACAAAATGTATGATGTGGTTTTCAGACGTTTGTGCTGTGAATACAGTTGTGGGGGAATTGCAAGAAAATACAAATTGGTTGTGCCCCTACACAATTGTGACATAAGAGGTTGTGTAGAACCCTGCACTGGTGTGATATTTATGTAGAATGTATGTGCCTCTACTGGATGATGGTATTTTATGCATGTGGGCATTTAGACTTGGGAGTGGTTCAGCTGTAACATAGCTGCAGTGGGATGCGTGCTCTGTGGGTGATAGAGAGATAATGTGTAAAATCCTAGGAATGCATGAATATTGAAATGCTGTGTTGCGTGGGTGATTAAGTGTTATCTGAGAATGCATGTATTTGGGGGCGTATAGATATATGGACTTTTTATGTATGCAGGTGAATCGTGGGCATATATGTGTGCCTGTGTAATTGTGGGCTGAGTGTGCCACTATGAGAGCCTGCGGGTGAAGATCGTTCCTGGATTAGGACAAAGACTGGGTGTGTGTTGAGGACTGAGGTCCTTCTCCATTAGTATTTACTCTCCCCGCGCAGTCACTCAAGAGCGCCTCCAGGCCAGGGAGGCGCGGGACCCCGCGGAGCCCCGGCGGAACTGGGCGCCGGGCGCTCCCTCCCCTCGAGCCTCCGGCTCCGCGCTCGGCCCAACCCCAGCGCTGCTGGCGCCAGGCGCCCGGAGAGCGGCGGGTTTCCAGCTCGCCTCAGGCAGGAAACCAGGACCCCCCCTCCCCCCACGCACCTCTAGGGCCCACAGCCCTGCCGAGCTCCCCGCCCCTCCAGGGGAACTGGCTGGCTCAGGACTAGGCGTTTGTGCCCTTCTCTCCAGTAGGGCCCCGCGCCCGTTCCATTTCCAGGAGAGGATCACCACAGAACCCACTCCTCACCCGGCCCGAGGAAAATCGTTCATCTTCTCTAGGCCTCGCTTTTTCTGTATGTACAAGGAAAGAGTTGGCCTTTCTCCCTCTGCCTTTGGACTATGGGTCAGGCATACAGCGCATGTCAATAAATAATTAAATGAATGAGTAAAGGAATAAATTTGCCCTCTAAAAAGAGCAGTCCCATGTCATCTTCCCCTTTCACCCTCACCTCCACATTGCTTTTGAGAGAAGGGCACACTCCTCCTGCCCCACGCAGGGAAGGGGCGCTGGGACAGGTTGGTGAGATGGAGAGAAGGGGACAGACGCCTGGTCCTGAGCCAGCCGGTTCCCCAGGTATGAGGACATCAGCTAGGAAGCTACCGCAGCGGGCGGGAAGACGCAAAACCCCAGCCGAAAGCGCTGCCCCCTGGGAGTTCCTGGTCCCGACACGCGCCCAGGGAAAGCAACCTGTGGAGAGACTCGGACAGGCCGGGAAAGGCCCTGGCGCGTAGGGGAAAGAGCGGAGGTCCGCGCAGCCAGACCAGGTCTCTGCACTGGTGGATGCGAGATCACCCGCGGCACGTTTCTCCTGCTCCGCGAGCCTGGCGGACAGTGTGGAGATCCTGGCCCCTTCTGTATATATTTACGGCCAAACGCGGATTCCTCCTGGTGTGCGCTTTGGCACTTTATAGAATCGAACTTCTCAAGCGGGGATGACCTGGGTGGAGTAGTCCGACGTTAGCCGCGCTTGGCGCCTGCTGAGTCCGGCGGAGAAGAAGCTGCCTCCGCCCAGAGTTGGCGGGCACGTAACCGGTGCCCTAACTGCTCCCAGTTGGTATAGGACTGACGACTAAGGGCTGGGGGTGCTGAGGGAAGAACGTCAGGGGCCTATCCTGCCTCCAGCAGCTCCCTCTCATTTTCTGGCTCTGATGGCAAGCGGAGCAATGATGCTCCGGGACTGGGGACCGCTGGAATTCCTGTTTTGAATTCTGGAGGGTCTAGAGCAAGAACCTTTCTTTCTCCTGGCCTCAGTTTCCCTATGTGTAAAATCAAGGGGTGGGCTCTAGATGAAGGCCTTCTTTTCGTTGGATGATTCTAGATTCCTTTCCTTGGGTCCAGGGTGGGGGGAGGGAGGGGATGGCGGCCACCTTCCCGGGCGTTGACAGGCCTGTGCCTCAAGTACGTAGCCCCCGCCTCCCCACCCCCCCAACCAAGCTGGGAACTGGGGGAAGGAGGGGCGGAGGCGGGACTGCCTCTGTGTCCCCGAAGGCAGCCTAGAGGCTAGTGGCACAAGCTGAGCTTAAAACCAGGGACGGACACCCTCCCCTTCCTCCTCCCCACCCCCCTGCCATTGGCTCCAGGGAAAGGTTGACATCAAAGCCGTGGCCTTATATAAGCCAGACCCTGAAGGAGAGGCCGCAGAAGGGTTAAACAGGTCTCTCGACGTCAATATCCTCGCCCACGACAGAAACCAAGGCTGCGGCGGGCTGCGCATCTCTTTTTCAGCCTTGCCGGGACTCTCCCAAAGCCCACGCCCACCGGAGCGTGGCCCCAGAGCCCACGCGTGGCCCCGGCAGTCTCCGGGGTGCATGGAGCAGCACTAACTGGGCTGGCTGCGCAGGCCAGGGTCTGCTCCAAAATGAACCTCGTGGGCAGCTACGCACACCATCACCACCATCACCACCATCACCACCCGCACCCCGCGCACCCCATGCTCCACGAGCCCTTCCTCTTTGGCCCTGCCTCGCGCTGTCACCAGGAGCGGCCCTACTTCCAGAGCTGGCTGCTGAGCCCCGCTGACGCTGCCCCGGACTTCCCCGCCGGCGGGCCACCGCCCACAGCCGTAGCAGCCTCTGCCGCTTACTGTCCCGACACCAGGTCCGGCCAGAGTCCGGGGCGCCTGGAGGCCCTTGGAGGCCGCCTGGGGAGGAGGAAAGGCTCAGGACCCAAGAAGGAGAGGAAGCGCACGGAGAGCATTAACAGCGCCTTTGCGGAGCTGCGCGAGTGCATTCCCAACGTGCCCGCCGACACCAAGCTCTCCAAGATCAAGACTCTGCGCCTGGCCACCAGCTACATCGCCTACCTGATGGATGTGCTGGCCAAGGACGCACAGGCCGGCGACCCTGAGGCCTTCAAGGCCGAACTCAAGAAGGTGGATGGCGGCCGCGAGAGCAAGCGGAAAAGGGAGCTGGTAAGTTCGGGGGGCTGGGCAGGCTCCAGCCAAGGGCACAGGGCTGTGAGCACCCTTAGGCCAGCGTGTAGTGGAAGGAGTCTGCGTTGCCGTGTGCGAGATTTTGAGAGGCTGCAGGGAATTCTGAGATGGTCAAAATGTGGAATTGTGTGCATAAGGGAGAAAGACTCGTATTTGAACTTCGTGTGTAATGTGAGACAGTGTTTGTAAGGCTGAGAACGAAGGCAGAATCTTAACCTTTTTGGAGGGGGTCCTCGGGTCCCTTTTAAGAATCCATTGGAAGTTTAAGACTCCCCCGCCCCAAATCATATATTTTGCTTCCAATTTCGAGGGGTCCTGCACCATCTCTGGGTGCTCCTGGAAGCCAGGTTAAAAATGCTGTAGAAGTTGTCACTTTAATATTTATCCATATGGGCTCAGTTACTGTTTTCAAAAGGCCTTTGCTGGAAATGGAGAGGCTAGTCTACCTCCATCATTGTACAGATAGGGAAACTGAGGCTCAAGCATGGGATTTGACATGGCCACCTACCCGACGAGTCAGAGGTGCAGCTGGGGTAAAACAAGTCAGAGTTTCTACTCAGTTCAGAGCGCCTTCCACTGTGCCTCTTTCCAAGGACCAGTTCCAAGGGCGACCTCGATGGTTTTGTGTGTCAACGCCAAGAAATGAGGGCCAGTCTCACCCATTTCTTTTGGCTTTGTAGATCGCAGTTTTCACGCAGACATTCTCGATCCTCTCCAGTGAGGGCGACACTTTCTGAAGCCTGGTTCGCTGGCTCAGGGCAGTGGAACCTCAGAGGGTGGAGATTTCCAGGCTGGAAAACTAGTTTCTCTAGGTTGGTGCGCTCAGGCCCACTGCCCGTGGAAGCTGACTAGAGGGCCCCGTGACTTTGATCTGGTCCTCAGGGGCTGTAGGAAAAGCTCACCTGGGGAGACTGGGGAAGACAGATAGGTATCCAGTCTCTAAGCCACAGTCTGGGGCTAGAGGATATGCAGGCCCGGGTGACGCCTTGGTGGAAGCCGTTATTGGCAGTATCCCCATCTCCTGCAAGTCACTACCTCCTTCAAGTAGCACTGCTTGGTTCTGCTAAGAAAGTGCGTGTGGAAGGAGAATGCTAGGCCAGGCCGACTGCCTCTCTTTTACCTAGCGGTCTGAGGCTTTCTAGCGCCGGCTGGTGGGGACCCAACACCTAGTATCCAAGCCCAGGTGCTAAACCAGGTAGGAAAGCTGGTGGGATGTGTTGGGGGAGCAAGTCCAAGAGCAGAAAACTGTTGATTCCCACCCTTCCCATTCCAACCTCTGCAGTCTCTCTTGGGCACCATTGAGCCAAACCTAAGCGCATCAATTTCACGAGATGCAGAAAATTCTCATTACCAAACCTCACGAAGCTGCCCAGCCCATCCTCCCCGCCACGGGAACTCGGTGCATAAAGGCAAATTTATGAGCCTGTTTGCCTATTTCACAAACAGAAATCTGCCACTTATTTAAAGGCTCCTAGTTACTGCTCCCAACACCTTTTCCCCCCACCCCACTCTACGCCCAGGCGGCTGGAGCAGAAAATTTTAAACCTGTCTCTCTCGCCTCTTTTCTTATGTGTGTCCTCTGGCAGCAGCAGCACGAAGGCTTTCCTCCCGCCCTGGGCCCAGGCGAGAAGAGGATTAAAGGGCGCACAGGCTGGCCGCAGCAAGTCTGGGCGCTGGAGTTAAACCAGTGAGCTGAGGACCCCGCCACCGCGGCCCGACCCGGAGCCCGGGAGGAGAGGAAGGCAGCATCGAGTTGCCAGGCCCTGGGTGCCAGGGGCTTATGAGGGTGCATCCTGTCGAGCCTCTGCTGCCTGCTGGCAGGTCGCCGGCTGCAACAACACACTTGGATCGCACGTGCAATGTCATTTGAAATTGTTTTTAATACATTAAGAAAAAGAGAAATATATATATATCCACCCCCAAAACCGAGAGGGCTACTCTTGGAGGCACTATGTGGGAGGGAGGGACGGCAGGACCCGAGTGGGCTAAGACGCACCCTTCCAACCCTTCTGGGGCGAATTTGGAACCCCCAGCGCCTTCCCTACTACCTATATGGCTCTCTTTCTCACCCGCCCCCCCCCTCGTCAAAATTCTCCGGCGCTCCCTTCCCTGATTAAAATGCAATAAGAGGAATCAATAGTTTTCTGCCATGGACAGAGAAGCAGACCATGGACAGGAAGATGGAGGGCTGGCTGCCTTTTGTTGTTGGTCTCCCTCAAACAGTGATGTTTTTACTTTATTTTTTGTTGCTGCACTTCCTACTTAGTTCCAAGGGAAACGCTTGCCTGCCTTTTCTTTCTCTCTTCCTTCTTTTCTTTCTCTCTCTCTTTTCCTTCCTTCCTTCCTTTCCTAAGTAAAAGCGTTTCCCCTATGTTGAAAAGTTTTTATGTATTTAAACTACCTACGGTGCCTGCTGCGCTCAGGTGTTTGTTTATTCCCCCATCCCCACCCCTTTTCTACCTCAAACCTGTATGACCACTCACCGCCCCCTCCCTTTGCCAAAGCAGTATCTATGCTCTTGACCAATAAAACATTTTCCGAAATCGGAAGAAGCCTGTGTGATGTCTTGGTGGGTATCCCAGCTCCGTAATTTCTGCTAGGTGGAGAGCGTCCTATTTCTACCTTCTTTTGATAAATGCCAAACTACAAATCAAGTCAAGGCGGAGGGGGCAGACAAAGGACATATTCCTGGAACAAAGAACAAAGTTCTCCTTATAATGCAACTGTGAGACAGGATAACTTTAGTGAACCCACAGAAAGGAAAACTGGAAAGGCATTAGACCCAGAGAGACTGGCTACGATTTAGGTAACTCGGCATGGTCTAACATCAGGTTAGTATGCACACCCATACTAACCTACAGGCAGTGGTTTGGGATTATCAGGAATGGGGCATCAGCCCCAGGGTAGTGTAGCTGGGTAGAGAGGGGTGTGCTCAGGAATACTATGTTCATGTATATGAAATTCTGAACACATCTGGGCATGTAATGGTGCAGGAACTCATGGAGCCTGGTGCCTGGGGGTGGGGTGGGGTGGGGGGCTCTGCGGGTCTGCGTGGCACAGCTCCCGGCATGCAATAACGACTCGTCGAGTCGTAGCAGCTATTATTTTATACTTGAGTAAAAGAAGCTCGCGAGCGCTTCTGGTTAAATTCGAGACGTTTAGGTTTTTCTCCAGCAACAACGCACTCAACAAATAATCGTGATAACACGTGGATTTGCGCAAAGGGATGGAGTGTGCGCACACTAATTCCGGCATTTGTGCAGGAGAGCTATCTTTGTTCCCCCACGTGCGCTCCCGTGGCTGGGCGCGGGGGCGAATAAAAACCGGTGCATTCGCCGAGGCTCGGGCTCTTGCTGCGCTAAACTGGGGCAGGCAAACGTGTTCCTGAATAATAGCCTACAGACAAGTAGTTTTACTGGCGCGCGAATGTGTACTAGGTACTAGCCAAGCGCTTTTATGCCTCCGAATAGCTCCCACGATTGCCCGAGGGGCGCACGGTGTGCAGTGCCTGCACGAGTCTTCGGCGCTCCCTGCGAGCGAGGCGCGAGAATGCGCGCACCAGTCCCTGGGCGCTCGCTCGCCCTACACCCGGAGCTGGGGGCCCTCGGCTTGGGGCCGAGAAAGGAGGCCCGGAGCAGCTCTGGAGCCAGGCCTTTCCAGGCTCTTCATGCCGGCATCGGGGTGAATATGGGGCCCCATTAGTCTTGGCTGTAAACACCGTGGCAGGGGCCGAGCGGCCACGAGGGCCTTTCCGGACACGAAGGAGTTAATAAAAGGTGTTTTATGGATGCGAGGAAACGGTGGGGGAGGTGTGAGCTTCTCTCCAGTCTTACCCCCCTACTTCTTCCTTTTTTGCCCTCTCGCCACCCGCCGCCAGATCAAACAGGCCGGTGATTTAACTGGGGCAACACCTCGCGGTAATGAGCCGTCCCGGCACACCCCTCCCCCGGCCCCAGTTCCCGGCCCCGGGCCCCAAGGCCCCTCGGGCAGGGGCAGAAAAGAAAAATCAAGGGTTTTCCCTTTTTCTTTCCAAGAGCTAGGACGCCCCTTAGAAATCCTGGCGCGCACGGGGACCGGTACTCAGGTAGCAAGCCGACGGAGGTGCCCCGACATGGAGGTAGGCCTTGTCTGGATTCGAATCCAGGACTCCAGCTTGGTTTGCAGACGGCCCTCCAGCTAGACACCCAGCGCGGCTCCGGCGACTATTTTTAGCCTCCAAAGTATCCTAGGCACGGGAAGAATGCGCACTCAGGTCCTGCTTTCTTGTAGCCCTGGCCAGTGAAAGAAGAAAGGGTACCGAGGGGTACCGCCCCCCGCGGCCGGAGCCACGTTTGCCATAACCAGCCCTGCTCGGAAAACCCCACCGGGCCGGGTCCAAACCCCTTTTGAAGGGGTGAAACCTCAAATTCAGCCTCAGCCACGTTCGGTCCCAATCTCCGACCTGGGAGCTGAGACAGGGCACCGGTGCCCATTGAGAGGGTCACCGGAATGTCCTCCCACTTTCCCCGAGTCTTACTTCAGGGGCGTAGAATGCCCAGGCCACATTCCCACCCCTCGCTCCCTGGCCGAAAAGCCTGACCCCAGAGAGGAACGGAGTTGCTCCAGGTTTCACAAACCAGTCTGCGCCGGGATCCCCAGCCTCGGTCCTTCCTTTCCCACCGCCGCCGGCTCTCAAGCCTCTCATCCCTCTTTCGTCCTCCCCTCACGTGAAACAGCTTTAGAGCCTGACGTTTATTTTCTTATTCTCTCCCAGGGTTCAATGCGGTTTGTCAGAAACCTACCTCGACCCCGCTGTGGCAGAGCGGTGTCGTTATTATTATTATTTTTAAATTAAGAGTGCCATTTTTTTTTTTTTTTTTTAAATCTAGGAAAAATGGAATGGTCACGAACCTAAAAGTAAATTCCAGGAATTTTTCGTAAGGAAATACTCATGGATGTTACAAATCTTTAACTACAGGACTAGTCTACTAAGGAGTGAAAAAACAGGAAAGGACCCGGATGTGCTATAATTACAGAATTGTAACTGGCTAAATAAATTCATCAGTACAATGGGTTACTACTCAGCCACTAGAAACACTGTGAGAATTGTCATGGAGACTGTTCATTATACGTTAAGTGGGCAGGGACCCCTCCCAGGTTACTGTCCATCCTGACCTCCTTTTTGTAAAAATGAGTGGATAAATGATTATCATTCAAGGAGAAAAATTGGAAGAATATATGCATCAACATATTTACCCCTCGGCCTCTGAGTTGTGGGAATAAGGATAATTTTGACTTTTCCTCCTGCTTAGCTCTATTTCTCGACATTTTTTTACAATGAATAAGTATTACTTTTGCAATAAAAAATAAAGTTGAAATTTCCTTCTAATTTCTCCTGTGGCCAGTGTACTCTCAGTACACTGTTTAGTCCACATACATTAATTGAGCACCCACTTGTGCTAGGCACTGTGGGTATAAACATAATGTGCAAGAAAGAATCCATATAATCACCACCAATTAATGTATAATAGTAAATGTTCATCACGAAGAGTTGATTATTCCTTCTGCAGTAAATGTAGTCTTTTTCTCATGTTTAAAATCTATTAATGCATGAAATAATAACAGCTAAAATTGGTTAAGGAAATTATTTAAGCCCTTGGCATGCAGTATTTCATCCTCATGAGGACTGTATGAGGTTAACACTGAGGCAGCTGAGGCTCAGTGAAGGACTTTGTTCAAGGTCATATAGACTGGTAAAGGCAGGTTGGGCTTAGATCAAAGGGCAGGTCTGGCTGTCTCCAGAGACCTGGCTTTTCCCCACAATCCTCCTCGTGTGTGTGTGGTGTGTATACAAATACAACCTCCTTAGTTCCCAAAGTAAGGTAGATGAAGAAAGAATGGGGTTTGTGAAGGGATCTGGGATCCTAACTCCAGCCTTCACCTGGAACTGTCTTCCTCTGTCCCTACTCAGAGTGGATTCCATCTATAAAACGAGGCAGGGGGTGGGCTCCTCCACCTCCAGGTTCTTTCCTGACTGTAACACTCCCATTCTAGGAATCAACTTTCTGCTCATGAAAAAACTCAGCACGTTCTTCTCTGCACTGGTCTCTGATGTTTGTACAGCGCATTCACCTTTCCTCGGTACTTTCACTTCTCTGAGCACATTTTTTCTCCCCAGAAACAAGAAGGGAGCAGGGCAGGGATTATGCTTCTCAAGGACAGGAGGAAGGAAGACTCCGAGAGGTGAAGTGACCAGCTCAGGGTCACACAACCAGTCAAGGCATTAGAAGGCAGTTTGTCGACTTCAGACCCGGGGCTCTCCTGGGAATGGCTGTGGATCCTTTCTCTTCCTGCAACCAGCAGTTAAGCTTACGGTCTTGCTAAATCCTCATAAAAGAAACGAAACTAAGAAATCAGCCAATCTCATTTTTAAATGAAAAGTGACTGGGAAGAAAAAATATGCAGGCTCTAAAGTGTCTGAAACCAGCCTCCTGATTTAAACCTAATTTGTTTGAAAAAAATTTTTTTCAGCTGAGAGTTTTTACAGCTGAGCTCTCCCAAACCCATAAAAAACAAGGTTTATATGGGAAATAGTGAAAGACTCTTAACTATAATACACAGCATCTAATGTAAGCAGACAGAGACACTATATAAAGCTCCTACAAATGTTATTAAAACAAACAGAAATACACATTTATCCCCGCAGAATGGACAACGGAAGGCATCGGACTTTTCAAGGAGTTCCAGAAGTCTACATTCACTGAAATGTTCAAAGCACCCCATAACACTGGGACCTCAAAGATCCTTACTCACCATCCAAACATTTCCCTCATTTTACAGAAAGAGAAACTAAGGCCGAAAGAGGCAAAGGCCTTGCCCAAGGTCACACAGGACGCTGTATTCTTTTCTGCCTATTTAACACCTCGGCTTCTAGTGCAAGATAAAGAACAAAACAGTGGCCCGGAGACTCCGCACAAATTACTGAGCCTCAGTTTTCTCATCTACGAAATGGGAATGATCATTTCCTCAACTTCCTGGGGTTCGTGAGGATTGAGTGAGATAAGGTGTGCAAAGTACTCAGCACGTTGTCCACCACAGAACTATTTTTATTATTTCGTTGACTCTTCACAATAACCTCGTGAGGTATTAAGGATTTATTTCTGTCTGTTTGCTTGTTTTGGAAAGGTGGGACATATTTCTGACAGGCACGTAAGGTTGCAGTGACTTGTCCAAGGGCACATAGCCAGTGAGTGAATTCTTGGTTCAAAGACTTCACATTCCATATCATTAAAGTAAACTGAGGAGCAGGCAGGCTGTAGCAGTTGAATTTTTGAAACCATCTAAGGCAGCACTATACAGTAGAAATATATAGCAAGCCATAAATGCGAGCCATGTATGTAATTACAAATTTTCTAGTAGCGACATTAAAAAAGTAAAGAGGAACAGGTGAAATTAAATTTAGTAATATGTTTTATGATATTCTTTATGAATATTTCATTCAATATGCCTAAAATATAATTTCAACATGTAGTTAATATAAAATTATTAATGAGATATTTTATATATATTTTTCATACTGAGACTTCAAAATTTGTGATGTGTTTTATATTTAAAGCACATCTCAGTTTGGACCACATTTCAAGCATTCAATAGCCACATGGAGCTAATGGCTGCCATATTGAACAATGCAGGTCTTAATGCTCATGTAGCAGGAATATTAAACACGTAGCTTTAGTTAATCACATCAATAAATAGCTACCATTTACTAAACACTTATTGTGTACCAGGCAGCAGTGCTCAATATATATGGGCTCATTTGCCCCCTCCTAACAACCACAGAGGGTAATTTATTCGCAGCCACATGACTATTAAGCAGCAGGGCTGGTATGCAGACCCAGATACATTTGTCTCCCAAACCTGCCATTTTAGCTGCAGAGTTCCTTTACTTCCAGAGATATCTCAGGGTCGTAGTTGGACAGTGAGATGCGGAGGGTCCTCTGAAGGTTCCATCCAGTGGGTGGAGCCTTGGGTTCCAGATCCAAGTTTACCATGAGTCATGTGACCTCTGGTCAATCATCCACTTGGGCTTCAGTTTTCTTATCTCTAAGACGGGCTAACAATACCTTTCCGCAGCCCATAAAACTCTTGTCAGGCTAAAATGGGAAAAGGTCTTTGAAAGTGTTTAGAAACATAGAAAAATATAGTACAAGAGCAGGGGCCAAGGTCAACAGGGAGGTCATGACTGGCACTCAGATGAGCTGGTTAGATGGGCTGTGTGGCACTGGGCAGGTTTATTAACCTCTCTGAGCCTCAGAGCCCTCTTCCTTAAAGGGAAAGCAGAGTAGCTCATAGAGAAGTGAAGATCCAAAATCTCTTAGCCTGGTGCAGAATAGAGTGGTAAACATGAGCTATTATTACTGCTGCTGGCGTAGTTGGGCCTGGGCTGCGGAGCCTAACTTGGGAGCAATAGGAATGGCAGGGAAAGGGGAAGAAGGGAGCGTGGCCTTCTCCAGCTCCCTGAGACCTGGCTCTTGGCTGAAGGTAGTATTTTGGCAGTCCAGTGGTGGAGTGTGAGAGATGTTGGTGGGGGTGTGAGAACAGTTAGTGTGGTGAAAAAAGCACTTGACTCAGAGGTCAAGAGAAGGGGGTTCAGCCTGTCGTGTGACCTTGGGCATTTCCTTACCCCTACTGGACCTTGGCGTCATCTGTAAAACGAGGTGAGACCAGAGATCTACGTCCCCTTCTGCTTTGACTGCCTAGATTTTTTAAACGGTATGACTCAAAGCTTTCATCAAACGCAGGGGACAGGAAACACCCCTGAGCCTTCCCCTGTGGCTTGGGGCTACCACTAAGGGAAGGGCGCCACCTGGTGGCCACGTTCTCCTCTGTGTTCCGTGTAGAGAAACCAGCAGGACTCCAGACTCCCCTAGGCAGCGACTCCAGAGCCCTCAGGGCACACTTTTTCTAACTTCCTTTGGCAGTTCAGGGGAACAGAGAGGGGGCCTAGAAAGTTCACAGAACCAGGAGTCCTGGGCAGCAGGCTAACTCCTATGGAACGCTGGAGTTTTACAATCCAAGGTCTCTGAGGCTTTCTTCCCTAAAGTCACCTTGGAGCAGGGGTCTGTGTTTCCCTTTTATGTAAAGTCTAAATACATCACGTTTTCTTCTATTTCTTTGGATAGGAACCTCTGAAAAAAACTATAATCTTCTGGTAATTCGAAATCCTTTTGCCACTATTGTACTAGGCTAATGGAACGCAGAGGGCTGTTTCTCCCTGTACTGAATACCCCACTGGCATCCTGAGTTCTAACAGCCTTTACTATCCTGCCATCTCTAACCCCTACTATCATTATTCTGCTTCTCTCTGTGGTTGCATGGTACACAAAGGAGTCAGACTGACACGGGTTCAAGTTCAGGATCATCATAAAACCTTAAGTAAGCCATCTAATGTCTCTGGACCTCAGTTTCCCCATATGAAAATTACGGATAATAGCTTCTTTGCCAGTTTGTGTGAAAGTTACTACCGGAAACAGTAATAGAACAGAACAGAATATTCTAGCGCAGTGTCTAGCACCTAGTAGGTGTTTACAAATAATAGCTATTATTTCTGTAGGTACATCATCCTGATCACCTACATATTCAGCTTTGAAAATATTCCTAGATCGAACCCTGAACAGAATGCGTTAGAAAATGGCATTGGCAACCAGAAATAAAACACCTTTACCGTTGAAGATGGTGGAGCCTCCTTGGAACTATTAAAATTGGCTCAGCCAAGTTGAACTTTGTCTAGTTGAGATAAACCTCATTGGCAGGCTGGGGTCTCCTCAGTAACTGCTTCCCTCAGTCCTCATTCTCTGGCCTTGCTGGGCTTCACTAGATACAATTCCATCCTCTGGCAGTTGTTCGTTGACATGGCTGAGTCTGAACCCTGCCCATCTGACTACAGGGCTCCCCCTGAAGCCTGATCCACACCTTCATGCCACCATCTCCTAAGCAGGATCCTCAGAGGAGTCTTCCCATTGTTCACTTAGCAGACCCCAGCCTTGCTGGTGGCCACGAGCTCTCAGGACGTATCCTTAGCCGCCTTAGCTTAAGCTCATTACCTTTGCTAAGCCTCATTAGCTCCTCTAAGACAGCAAGATCCCATTACGCACTCACGGACCCACGCACGCACCCACGGCTCCTCTGTCAGAAGTGGGGCTAACGCGGGGCTCCAAGGCTTCTCGCAGATCCTAGGATTTTAGCAGTGGAAGGGCTACTTTCCATCGCTGAGTATTAACTCCTCTGAAACTCCCGCCTCCTGGAGGACGGTCCATTTCCAGATTCCCTCAGGCACCCGGCACACAGCAGACATTCATACATTTTCTTGACATTTCGTTGTTTGGTTTTGTTTTTAATAATAGCAGGTTATATGACTCCCAATTCCGAGCCCTTCTCTTTGGCATCTGAGGCTTTGGCATCTGCTCCGGACTGGACTTCCCCTCACCCTTAGTCTGAGTAACCTTACATTTCCTTCAAGGGCCTGCTTAGAAGCCTCTTCTCCAGGAAGCTCCCTTGATTTTCAGAAAGCCTTTTTCTTCCTATTTTATCCTTACTCTGAATCCTATAGGTACAATTATAGTACGGCTATATACGGAGATGGTAAATAGACGCTTTGATATGCCTACGGATATGGCTATAGTCACAAACAGGTATGTGTGTTTGTGTATACATATGTGTATATCATATATAACTGCGTATCCACATTGTATATACTCATGTATACATATACACAGATAGTATACATATCTAGTCTTTATAGATATGAATGTCCATCATTAACTATTTTTATAATTTTGTAATATACTTATATAAAATTATATAGTTTTGTGTTTATTATAATATGTAATTTATAGGTAATTATTATAAATATATAAAAGTATAATCCTTTTAAAACCAGTCCTCTATTATTTGACATATAGGTTATTTCCAGTTCTTCACTCTTCTAAATGTCTCATACTCCTATGAAATATTAGCTTATCCTATTAGTAGGCAGCAGGGCACAGTGGATTCTGGGGTCAGATAGACCTTTGTTTGCCTCTCATCTCCGCTGCTTTTGGGTGACCTTGGACAAGCCATTTCACCTTCTAAACTCCTGTTTCCTTGTCTATAATATAGAGAGAATAACCGAGCTCGTCTCATAGGGTCATGAGGCATGTGATGTGCTTAACATTGGACCCATGACATAGTAAGTCCTCAGTGAAAAACAGCACCAGTTGGGGAGGCAGAACATGACGATTCACTGTGGCTTCCCCGCTGACTTGTGTGACCTGAGAATACTATTTCACAGTATGTGACAACCCACGAAGATAATGGGCAATGGCTCTTTACAACAATAAAGTGCTGCCCAAAGTTAAGATTGTATTACTGTTGTTTTTACTTCTCTGTTTTCTACAAGTTTTAGGAATATGTAACTTAACTATGTGAGCAGGGAGTATGTGCTTTGAGGACTGTTAAAAAAATTGCTTTGTTATTTTCTAGATTTGGTGAAAATGGTTTGGGCCCATTATAAACAATTTAGACACCGCCAAAATAGCACAGAGGAGAGAGTAAAACTCCAAACCCTAGCAACTGGGACTAAGCATGGTTGGCAGGTTGACTGTGGCCTCCTCTTATTTGCTACCCTTGTGGAGCCCAGGCAGGACAGGGCAAGCTTCAGCTGTTTAATAAATGTCTGTTGACCTCAGCCATTGACTTGTTAACAGTGGCATGCTCCAGCTCTGTCCCTCTTGGCCAACCTCTGACAGTTTCATTAACCCCATTAAATCATGCAGGTGCCTTTACACCTCCTGGGCTTGTTAATCTCGGTTCAGCTCTGGGAAGTTAAAACCTGGCTGGAAAGTTGGATGTGCCTTGTTAACCTCCAATAAAACCTATTAAATTTCCTACCTAGAGTCTTAGTGACTTCTAGGAATCCCTCATTAAAGTTTAGTAAATCTAGTTGATGGGGACAAGGGTAACTGTT